GGGGGGGGGTGTAAACAGTGTGTCACACAGACACTGGGAGACAAGGGAGAAATGGCACTCCCTAGGGCCCGTGCACACTGGGCGCCCCAGGGCCATCCACCCCCAAAGCTGGGAGGTCACAGACATAGGGTGCGCCTCGGGGAAGCCCCCCCCAAACGGAGAGGGAGTCACAGACTCTCCCACTCTCATTCCAGGTGGGGCAGAATCAGGCAAATCACATCTTGAATCCAGGGAGCTGCGTGGGTCATCTTTTAAAGCGGGAGGGTCTGTGTTCCCCCATTTCCAGCCAGGCTGGGGCACCCCGGCACAGCCCCAGTCCCCCCCCCAACGCCGACGCCTGGCTCAGGAACTACTCTACTGTACAAAAAACAAGGCATCAGCACGAACCTTCCTGTTGGGGGGGCAGGGGGTTGTCATCTCCCCATCCTGCCCCCCTTCCCGGCACTCCAGGGTCCCCAGCCCCATGTGTTCACCCCGAGCAGAGCGTCCCCATCCCAGCACATGGGTGTCAATGGAGCCTTTCCCCCGACACAAGGGCGCATCTCCCCCCACCTGGCCAGGCAGCCGAGACCCGCCTACTGCCTGGGGCTGGCGGGATCACGCGTCAGAAGTCCAGCGTCCATGGCCCCCCAGCAGCTTGTCGCCCCCGGGGAGTTTCCGCGGCCCCCTGAGTTAATCCATCTCTGCTCCCCAGACACTCTCGTCCTCGCCCGCGAGGGGTTCACCCCTCATTGTCTCGGCTCCCCCCAGGGCAGGGCGGTCACACGTAGACAGCCGTCTTGGAGATGATGGACCCGTCGTGCTGCGACTCCATGTCGTCCTCCTCGTAGCCGCTCGGAGCGCCATGCCCGGGGTGGGCGCTGAGCCGCAACATGGGCCCCACCTCGTCAAGCCGCTCCTCCTCCTCCTCCTCGTGCCGCTGGCCGGGATAGCTGTAGGGGCCGGGCCGCTCCCCAGGGGCCCCCTCGCCCGGCGTGGCCTTGAGGGGCCGGTCCAGCTCCGAGTCGGGGCGGTAGATTAAGTTGGGGGGCGGGGCGGCCCCATTGCCGAAGACGCGGGTGGTGGGGTCATAGACGCCCTTGAGAGGGGGCCGGGCGCGGCGCCGGCGGAGCAGGAAGAATACCAGAGCCCCCAGCAGGGCGAGGGCCAGGATGCCCCCGACGAGGCCCCCAGCCACGGCTCCGGCACTGCTCTGCAGCCTCATGGGGTGCTCTGGAGTAGAGAAAAGACGGGGGCAGGGGGTCACTCTCCAAGCTTCGGGGGAGGGGGTGTTGCTCGCCACGTGCCGCTGGGCAGAAGAGCCGCGGATGGAGCCGTTGGGGGCGGGGGGAGGGTCGTGGCGACCCCTTTGTCATCTGAGGCGGCGCTTCCATGCAGAGCCGGGTCCTCCTGGGGCCAAGACGGGGTCTCCCCTCCCTTCCCCGCTCTGCCCAGCGCCCCACAAACTCACACCCCGCCCAAGCCCACAATGCACTTGGGCCCCTGCACGACCCCTCCCCACAATGCACCTGGGCCCCTGCATCCCCATCCCCCACAATGCACCTGGCTGTTGGCACATGCCCCACCCCCTGCCCCCCCATGCATCTGGCTAATGGCACATCACCCATCCCCTGCCCCACAATGCACCTGGTTAGTGATATATGCCACACACACTCCCCCACAATGCACCTGGTTTGCCCTGCCCTCCCACAATGCACTTGGGTATTAACTGCCCCCCCTCCCCTTGACCCCATACTAATGCTCACACATGCTGCCTGGCTGCTGCAGGAGCCTTGCACCTGGGTGCAAATCCTCAGGGCAGATAATTATTTGGCACAGGACAGTCACAGGCATCCCCATCACCCCTAAGAACCAGAGAGAGAACTCAGGAGTCCTGAGGCCAGCCCAGCCCCGCCCCCACCTCCCACCCCTAAGAACCAGAGAGAGAACCCAGGAGTCCTGAGGCCAGTCTAGCCCCGACTCATTAGGAGAAGCTGAAGTTGGGGGAAGATTACCCCAGCTCCCAGGCTGTGGGACCCCTGAGGAGGTGGGGGAGTGGGGGGAAGCCAGCAGGGGTGTGGGAGAGCCCACCACACCCCCAGAAAAGACAATGAGGTGTAACACATTCCCCAAGCAGCTTCCATCAGCTAAGCGGGCCTTTGCACCCCCTCGCAGCCCCTCCCTCGCTCACAGGGCACAGGCTCAAGCAGGAACCAGAGCAATGCCTTGGGGAGAGGGGATGAAGCGGGGGGGGGTGGTTGCAGGGACACCTTCTCTCCCCCAGGATGGGCCCCTTCGCCTCCCAGGGCATGACACAGACACCCTTCCCGCACCCCTGGGAGCCCCACCCCCTGGAATTTACCCAATATCCCTGCATGAGACCCTGCCACCTTCCCCTGGGAGCCCCCCACCCCCTGGCACACAGACACCCCCAGCCCTGGACGAGCCTCCCACCCCTACCCTGCGCTCCTCCAGCCCTTTGAACAGACCCTGGACCCAGATCACACACCCTTCACCCTGCTGGCAGAGGGGACACCCCCCATTCTCAGCCACCGGGGAAGGACCCCCGCGCACTCACCTCGCACCAGGACGGTCTGCTCGACCCGTGTCGTCCCCACGCTATTAGTGACCTGGCAGATGAAGGTCGTGTTCACCGCCACGTCCACCGACTGCACCATCAGCCGGTCGCCCTGTACCTGCACCGTGGGGGGCAGCGGCCCACTGGGGCTGGGGGAAGGGAGGGGAGAGGAGAGACTGGTTAGAGACCAGGGCAGGGGGGTCTGACTCCCAGCATACCCACCCCACACCCTTCTCAGACCTCGGGTTTGTCCTGGCTTCCAGCCCCCTCCCATGTTCTACCTACTAGACCCCACTTCCCTCCCAGAACTGGGATAGAACCCAGGAGTCCTGGCTCCTAGCCCCCCCCACCCCCCGCTCTAACCCACTAGACCCCACACCCCTCCCAGAGCTGGGGATAGAACCCAGGAGTCCTGGCTCCCAGCCCCCCCACCCCCTGCTCTAACCCACTAGACCCCACACCCCTCCCAGAGCTGGGGATAGAACCCAGGAGTCCTGGCTCCTAGCCCCCCCACCCCCTGCTCTAACCCACTAGACCCCACACCCCTCCCAAAGCTGGGGATAGAACCCAGGAGTCCTGGCTCCCAGCCCCCCCACCCCCTGCTCTAGCCATTTGACTCCTTCAGGTGTGCATTCAAAGCAGGAACAACCCCCAACATACTTGCTGCCGTCACACCATGGGGAGCCGGGGGCTGCCACTGGCACAACAGTTCTGAGCTCGGTGCCAGGGGCTGGGTGGGGCCCCCCAGATAACCCCTCCGATGCGCAACGTAAGCGTGGCTGCCATACACCGACCCCCACCCCAGCCGCTCTCCTTTCAGCCCGGGCTCCGAGTGACCCAGCAGCCGGCTGCCCTGCTCCTAGCAGTGGCAGGGGTGGGGGGGCGGGTGCAGCTGTTCCTCCCGGGTGGGTTCAGACCCATCAGCCTCCAAAGAGACAGCCCCCTCCCAGCCAGCCGAGTCTGCCACAGGGACAGGCCAGCCCAGGGTGAGGGGCCCGCCTACAGACAGTGCCCCTCGCTACCCTGGCTCTGGGGAGTTTGGGGCCCCGCTACCCAGCAGAACAGGACCTGAGGCCTCTTACAACCTAGAAAAACAGGTTTGCGAGCTGGTTTATGTTTTCATTTCCTCCTCCCGATGGGAGCAGCACAGTGACCCAGGATCTGCCACCCCTCCTTTAAACGTAATCTCTTTGGACCCTGGAACATCCCTTCTCCCACGATGGGGGCAGAACCCAGGAGTCCTGGCTCCCAGTCCCCCTGCTCTAACCCTCGAGACCCCACTCCCCTCCCAGAGCCAAGGACAGAACCCAGGAGTCCTGGCTCCCAGCCTAAGATTCCTCTCCCCCAGGCCTGGGCCCAGCCCAGCCCCGTCACAGACCTGCTGTGGCCGAGGGAGACGCACCGCTCCCCAGGTCCCAACCCAGCCCGGGCAGGTGCCACGGCTGTGGGAAAGGCGCCCCTCCCCCCCAGCCCAGGTGCTGCTGCGGGGAGAGAGGGCTGAGGGGAGTCCTCTCTCCCTGCCGTAGCCCCAGGGCAGCCTGCACCCCAAACCCCTCATCCTCGGCCTCACTCCAGAGCCTGCACTCCCAGCTGGAGACTTCACCTCCCCTGCCCCCCGCCCCAGCCCTGAGCCCCCTCCCATACTCCGAATCCCTCGGCCCCACCCCCACATGAATTTTGTTATGTACCGTACACCAATATGGAGGGGAGGTGTGACACATCACCTCCATATTGGTGTACATAACAAAATTCATTCCGCACATGGGTAGGAAAAATTAGAGGGAACACTGCCTTCCAGCCCCGCATGCTCTAACCCACTAGGCCCCACTTGCCTCCCAGAGCCAGGGATAGAACCCAGGAGTCCTGGCTCCCAGCCCCCCCTGCTCTAACCCACTAGACCCCAACCTAGGAGTCAGCCAGCGTGTTTGTGGAGGGGGGGGTCTAACAGCAGCCTCTCCTCCTCCATGGGCCTGTGCAGGGACTCACGTGCTCCAGGAGTAATGGGTGGGTTTGGGGTTCCCTTTGGCCGCGCATCTCAGCACGGCCTCACTCCGGCTCACGTACCAGTTGTCATCATAGCCATCGATAGTGACTTGGGGGGGGTCTGTGGAGAGAGCAGAGGAGTTGGTCAGACTCTGCCGGCTGCCTTTTGGGCCCAAGCTATCCCTGCCCCACAGCCAGGGAGAGAACCCAGGAGTCCTGGCTCCCAGCCCTCCCGCTCTAACCCACCAGCCCGCACTCCCCTCCCAGAGCGGCGGATGAGATCCATGAGCCCCGGCCCCGTCACTCACACAGCACGGACAGCACGACCGGGATGTTCTCCGGCGCAGCCAGTGTCCTCTGGCTGATGACGCAGGTGATTTGCTGCTGGTCTGCCGCCGCCGTGGGCACCATGTTGAACTGGCTGGTGACGGTGATGGTGCCGTCTCCATTGGTCACCTCGGAGGCATTGAAGTTGCCGGGGAGGGTGGAGAGCCACTTGATCTGGGCAGGGGGTTTGCCGTTGGCTGAGGTGCAGACGGCCACCGGGATCGTGGTGTTACCCGCCACCACCTTCCGCGACTCCGCCGTGTTGGTGGGCCTGGCTGTGGGGACCAGAGGGCAGGGTTAGCTAGTGGTGTTCCCCAGGCTCCTCCAGCCAAGGTCAGGGGCCCCATCGTACCGGGCGCTGCACAGAGATTGGACTTGGCCAAGCTCCGTGGTAGCAGAACCAGGAGTCCTGAGTCCCAGCCCCCCGGATCCTCCTAGCCAAGATCCCGTCCCTGAAAATCCCTTTCCCAGCAGCTGCCCACCGAGAGCGTCTTGGTAGCCATGTTTTATGATGCTTTCCCCATCGCTAATTAAAGCAATTAGCACAGGCAGTTCTGCCCATGTCAGACACAGGTATGAGGAACCCCGAGGCACCGATTTCACCACTTCCCCTGCCCTGGGAGCGGCGCAGGCTGCATCTGATCCCAGAGGTGTCCTCACAGACCATTCTCTGAGAAGATGGGACCCACAGGCCAAACCATCAGCCCCATACGCCCTTCCCCAGATCAGAGCCAGCGGCCCCTAGAGGGGAAGGCCTGTATCTCATTCCCCCACCCCCACCCCAGCCAGTCCCCTGCCCTGGGGTGGGATTGGCACACCCTAGAGGGGAAGGCCCCATGTGCCATTCCCCCCCCCACCAGTTCCCCACCTTGGGAGCCCCCAGGGACAAACCCTGTGCACCCCTCACCCAGGATGCTGAGCGTGGTGACCCCATCCTCGTTGCCATGAGGGTAGGTGGCGAATTCACAGACGTAGGTGCCCTCGTCACTCATGCGCAAGGGCTGGATGATCAGCGTGGCATCCTGCAGGGAGACGTTCAGAAACCGGATCCTGCCGCTGTTGTCCAAGGGGAAGTTGGGCTTGTGGTCTGGGAGATAGACAGCCACGTTCTGCTTCTTGCCCCCCATCTCCTTCATCCAGGTAACCTGGCTGACTTTGATGTCGGGGCTGGTGGCGGGGAAGAGGCATTGCAGCATGGCCTCATCGCCCACGTAGCCCGTGACTTCATTCCGGACCTTCACCCGCTGCGTCAGCACCACTGTGTGGGGAGAGACAGAGCCAGTTAGCAGGGGCGGGAGGGAATGGCCTACTCCAGCCGCTAGACCCAACGCCGCTCCCAGAGTTGAGATGGAACCCAGGAGTCTGCTCTCCCAGACCCTCCTGATTTGACCCACTGGACCCCACTCCTCTCCCAGCCCCCCTGCTCTAACCCACCAGATCCCATTCCTCTCACAGAGCCAGAATAGAACCCAGGAGCCCCCCTGCTCTGACCACTAAACCCCACTCCCCGCTCAGAGCCAGGAAGAGAACCCAGCCCCCCGGCTCTAACCACTAGACCCCAAGTCCTTCCCAGAGCCAGGACAGACCCAGATGTCCTGATTCACAGCCTAGAGAGACTCAGCTGGTTAGTGATTGGGGGGGGAAGAACAAGAGAGACACACCCCCATGAGTACCCCTGCAGCCCAGAGTTGGCCAGCTCCTCACTGGGGACGCCCCTCTGGCAGGGAGATGTGGAAGTCTGGGAGCCACAAACCCAGGGAGTTACTGGTGGGTTTGGAGGGATAATTCCGATAGGAGCCATTTAAGTTGCAGGTGTTATTCTGGGGTCTGACTAGACGATCTAATGGTCCCTCCGCCTATGGGCCTGCTTTATTTGCCCGCCAGGGATCCTTCTACCCACAGATCCAGAGCGATTCAGGTCAGAAGGGACCGTTCGGTCTTGCAGTCTGACCTGCTGTACATCACAGGCCAGGGAACCCGCATCTCAGTGAGAACCCACTGCTTCCCATGGGAGTCCCTCCCAAACCACTCAGAACTGGTGCCTTGTTTCCAATTGCACCGTGTCTGGCTTTACCGTCCAGTCACTGGCTCCCGTTCTGCTACCCGCTAGGCTCAGAGAGTCTTTCAGTGCCTGGGACAGTCACCTCCCCAGGGGCGTTGGAGCAGTGTGTATAGGGGGGTCCCAAGAGCCACTGAACCAAACTGTAAACGCTGCGTATGATAGAAACCACTTTGACCCCCTGACCTCTGCACCTCGTGACCCTTGTGGGACGCTAGCCAGACCGAGCACGCTCAGTCTCACTCCAAGGCATCTTCTCCAGCCCTCAGATAATTTCTGCGGCTCTTCTCTGCCCCCGGGTTTAACTCAATGGGTTTGGGGCACGCAAACAAACGCTCCTGTTCCTGGGTCGTTTGCCCAAGTAACGACGCCTGGGCAAGGGCTGCACAGGGAATTGCACCGATAGAACTGAACGCGGCAGCTTTGTAAACGGTACAACTGCATGCTTAGACCTAAGCCGGCCTTCAGCCAACCCGGAGTGTCCACAGGGCCGTTCACACCAGTTACCTGAATCCATTTAAACCCAGATCTTAAACAGGTGCAGCTCTGCATATAGACAAAGCCAAGGGACAACTGGGGCCAGTTCAGAAAAGGGAAAAGCTAGGCTGCATACCATGGGAAAATATCACGACAGAGAGATGGATCAGGCTGGGGAATTGTCTCCCCAAAGGAAGAGCTGGGAGCCCCAACATTGGGCCAGGGATCCCTGTATAAATAGCCCCACTCCCCGCCCTGTCAGGGATGCGATGGGGAGCTGGACTCTCTGTGTTTCGCAAGCCCAGCGCACCAGGAGCTGCACCAGATGAAGATCTCTTCTGACGTGCTGCCATGAATGAATAAAGGAGCAAGCGTGCAGTTTAAAGTGCCGTCACCCTTCCGCACCCCGATCCAGAGCGAGGGAGAATCGAGCAGAGGGCCGGGGCCGCCAGCAGTGGGACATGGCGAAAATTTTAGCCCAGCCAGCTGAGCGCTGCTACAGGTGCTGATCAAATGCAGTATATTTAACAGGCTCCCCCGCACCCGATTGGTTCATCCCACTAACTTGGGAGAGCAGCGCTGCTCTCCCAAGGAGACCCATGCAGGGTCTGGGAGCCTCCCTCGGCCATCTGTCTGTCCAACGTGCCGTTGTATTCCAACCCAGACAGACACAAGTTCTATCCACACACCCACCCCTGCATGCACAGCTACACACCTGTCCAACCCTCTCACACAAAGGCTTCCTCCTCTCCCTGGACAGTCACTAATCTGAAATTTGCGTGACTCAGGGCCACAAAAAAAACACTTTTTGTTTCTTAAACTCTTCTCCCCTGCCCCAATTTGGCTCGTTTTGCCTTCTGCTTTCTGAGCTGTTTTCTTGTCTCCTGACACACACCCTTCCCCCGCCCCCTTCCCAGCCAGGAGAGCCAGAATGGACTTTTTCCAAACACAAGCGGTGAGTCTCAAATAAATCACATGACCCTGGGAGCTGGGTCTTTATGAAGAAACACCAGAATCCACAAGAGTCGTGACAACAGCTCAAGTCAGCCACAGTGCTGGATCTCCCCCCCAGTGTGCATCTCCACACCCCACATGTGCATCTCTATGCAGACATCCCTGCTCCCCCCGTACCTGCACGGCTGTATCCATACAGACTGCGTGTTTCCACACACAGGCGGGCGGGCTGAGGCACGGTGCGTTTTCAGGCTGCTAAAGCGGGTCCGGCTCGGACTTCGCTGTCTGACCCACTTCCATTGATTCAGCTTCGCCCTCACATGCCCAAGACATTGCCCTGATTTCATGAGCCCCCAGCCAGGAGGCCGCGCTGCAGATCGGGAGCCGCCTGCTTCCAGTGAAGCAGGTAAGAGCCTTGGGTCTGAGGTCAGAGGGCCCCGACACAGATTAGCCCCAAAGGCCCCCAGCTCCAGCAGTACCAGCCCCACGCAGCAGACGCACCACGGGGCCCAGGCTCGTTCACAGCTGCCTCCCTTCAGCTGAAGACGTGCCAGCTCTGCGGGTGTCCTGGGATGGGTGTCTCCCAGCATGGTTTGGGTTTGCCCCAGATCTGCAGCTTATCTCCTTGTGCCAGTCCTGACGCCCGTTCCCAGTGCAGACAGCAGTACGGGGCCTGCCAGCCACCACCTCCCTTACACGCACCCTGTCCCAGACCACTGCAAGACTTAGAATACCCCATGGATAGGAAAGGCCTCACTCCCTGAGCCAGCCAGTCCCATTCCCCGCCCCCACCCGGCTGCTGCTCCCAGATGGGGATTCCCCCTTGATGTGACTCACACACACAGCCCCACTCATCCTTTGAGAGATCACATGGCTCCCACCCCAACCTGGCTCACGGGAACTGACCAACATCTTGTACTACAGCCCTGTGCCAGTCCCAGGCCTGGTGCCGTCAGTTCCCTGCTGGCCCCGGGGGGTGTGTGTGGGGGAAAACAAACTGCTAATAAATGCTTCATATCTCAGAAAACCTGTTACTCACCAGACACAGCTAGTAAATGACTCACCACCATCACATAGTGAGTTGGCAGCAAAGCTACGAATGGAACCCAGGAGTCCTGGCTCCCAGCCCCCTGCTCTAACCACTAGACACCACCCCCTTCCCAGAGCCAGGGACAGAACCCAGGAGTCCTGGCTCCCAGTTCAGCCCCTTAACGACTGGCCCATTCTCCTCCAGCAGAGCTGTGAGCCTGTGTCCATCCAGGCTGGGAGCACTCAGAGCGTGGTATCTGGGCAGGGATTTGGGGGACATGGATGCAAATCCAACACACACACACCCCGCTGCAGAGGTGAGGACAGCAGACGGCTCGGGGCGATGCAGCCCATTTCCAGGCTGCTGGGTAAGGTGCCAGCTCCTCTGCTTCACAGACAGTAACCTATTGTCCCTGCCACAGCTTTCTTCCTGTTTGGCTGGGAGGACATGGGACACTTTGTTTCCATACACACACACACACAGATACACACACCCTCCACCCAGACAATGCTGAAAAGGGAAAGCAACTTGCCTGGGTCAGCAGGGAGTAAAGGACAGAGAGATTGGAGCTGGGGAAGCTCCCACTCCCTGAACAGGGATGGGGAAAGAATTGGTCATACTTTAATCACTGTGGCTGGCCTGACTCAGCACACTACAGCCTGGATAGAACCCAGGAGTCCTGGCTCCCAGCCCCCCCGGCTCTAACCACTAGACCCCACTCTCCTCCCAGCATCCCTCTCTCAGGCTGGCTGTGGGATCCACTCAAGGCTCCCTCCCTCTGCTAGCTCTGCCGAACCATAACCTTTTGGGCTGCAATTTCCCCTCTTCAGCCCCTTCAAAGAAAACCTGCGTTGTGGGCTGGGGCTCAGGACACCTGGGTTCACTTCCCAGCCCTGCTGCTAGCTCTCCGTGTGACCAGGGCCAGTTCCTGCGTCTCCCAGAACCTCACTTCCCAGATGTAACGTGGGGAGATGATTCTGCCTTGGGCCACTTAGACTGCGAGCATTTGGGGCCAAGGATTGCGCCTAGCTATGTGTCTGCCCAGCACCGAGCCTCACTGGGGGGCCCTTCCGATCTCTGCCAAGGGGGGGGCAGCACCAGGCACAAGGGGGGACCCCCCAACCTCAGCCTGGGGGGCCAACACCCAGCACAATAGGGGTCCCCGATCTCTGCTTAGGGGACTGAACAGCATCCGGCACAATGGGGGGGACCCATTTCGATCTCAGCTGGTGGGAGCCTATACAGCGCCCAACACGACTGGCACCCCCCCTCCCCCACCAGAATCATGCCCAGTCCCTCCACTGCATTTCGGCTGGGAGGGCGAGGTCTGTGCAGCACCCGGCGTGACGGGGGAGTGGGGCCCCTTAGCCCTGTGGAACAAACAAACCCTAATTGCACCATCTCTGTGCTCCACTTAGATCAGTTTGAGAAACGAGAGAGGAAAAAGGCTCCAGGCAGATTTTTTGCCTGATGATTTTGCTGCAGAAGAAAAGGCTTTTTTTGTTCCCAGTCAGCTAAGGGATCTTTGCAAGAGAGAAAGAGGCACACAAAGGACAGACGGCCAATGGGACAGACACACAGACAGTTTCACTTTTTAAAAATAGCCATAGCTGCTGAGGGACGAGCCTGGCAAACACCCCCACCCCCAAGCCACTCTCCGCTCCGCCCCAGCTTTCAGAGCCCTCTCTTAGGCTTCGTCCCTCTGTAGGACGATTATCCCAGTGAGCCGGGCA